CCTCTCATGGCATTTACTTTATTATCTGCAACAATTTGTTATTTATATCCTATACAAAAAGACTTTACAAGTACTTAAACATTAATTATGTTTAAATCAAGACCTAATATATATTTATGAAACATAATAATAAAGAATTCGTTTTTCTACGCATAGCATAAGTTTCAATAATAAAAAAAATATAATCGTAAGAGTCCAAGTTCATGTTTCCAATTTCAAAAACTTTTAGACTTGAGATAAATGGGCAAGTGACTCATGATCTTTTGAGTATTAGGTTAACTAAAATATTTCTTAATCTTATAGGTCACTTTAATAATAAGAGGATGAGTATGAAAACTAAGAAGAGCTTTCAGAAATCTTAGCTCATGTCAAAGATGTCGACGAATCAATATTTAAGATGATTCTGGAAATAATGAGGAAAAAGAATATTCAAGATCTTTTAGGATTTCTAAGAAGGAAAGAAAATCTTCAACATCTGAATTCAGATGTGGGGAGACAAATTCAAAAGATAACAAATGTTGTTAAAAACCTTGAGGAACATGACTTTAATAAAAAAGACTATTCGTTGGAAGAATAAGAAGGAATCAAAAAAGACCTAATAATGAAAATAAAAAAAGATACAAACCTCATGGAATTTTTGAAATTTCTAGTTCAAATTACAGCCATTGATTAGAAATTCATCAGATGTGGATCTAATTCTTTACACTTATTAATTTTAATGTAAGTTGATCTGACGAATCAAATTTTCGAAAATATCAGAATTATGGATACTTCTTTAATAGGAGGAAACTTCGTTAGGTGCAATCTCAATGAATCTGAATTCAACAATGTGGATATTAGTGGAGTGAATTTGAACGGAGCTCTTCTCTTCAATTGTAAATGGAAGAACATTAAAATCCATGAAGTGAATTAATTGGATGGTCATGAAGGATCGGTGTGGTCAGTCAGTATCTCACCTGATGGGACTACTATAGCATCTGGCAGTGGGGATAAGTCTATTCGTTTATGGGATTTAAAAACAGGAGTATAAAAAGCAAAATTGGATGGTCATAGTGATGATGTACGATCAGTATGCTTCTCACAAGATGGAACCTCTATAGCATCTGGTAGTCGAGATAAGTCTATTCGTTTATGGGATGTTAAAACAGGATAATAAAAAACCAAATTAGATGGTCACAGCGATTCTGTTTGGTCAGTTTGCTTTTCACCTGATGGAACTATTATAGCATCTGGTAGTCAAGACAAGTCAATCCGTTTATGGGATGTTAAGAAAGGATATTAAAAAGCAAAATTGGAGGGTCATGATAATTGGGTCGTGTCAGTGTGTTTCTCACCTGATGGAAATAATTTAGCTTCTGGTAGTGGAGATAAGTCTATTCGTTTATGGGATTTTAAAACAGGACAATAAAAAGCAAAATTGAATGTTCATATGGATTTTGTCTGGTCAGTGTGTTTTTCACCAGATGGAACTATTTTAGCATCTGGTAGTGGAGATAACTCTATCAGTTTATGGGATCTTACGAAAGGATAATAAAAAGCAAAATTGTACGGTCATACTAATTGTATCAATTAAGTAATCTTCTCACCTGATGGAATTACTTTAGCATCTGGTAGTGAGGACAAATCTATCATTTTGTGGGATGTCTAGACAGGATAATAAAAAGCCAAATTGGATGGCCATAGTGATAGTGTCTGGTCAGTTTGTTTCTCACCCGATGGAACTAATTTATTATCTGGTAGTGAAGATAAATCTATCAGTTTATGGGATGTTAAAACAGGACAATAAAAGGCCAAATTGGATGGTCATAGTAATTCAGTTTACTCTGTATGCTTCTCTCCTGATGGATCCACCTTAGCATCGGGTAGCAAGGATAATTCTATCCGTATTTGGAATGCTAAGACAGGGTTATTATAAGCCAAATTGGATGGTCATAGTCATTATGTCACTTCAACTTATTTCTCATCAGATGGAATTACTTTAGCATCTGGTAGTCAAGATAAGTCTATCCTTTTATGGGATTTAAAGACAGGATAATAAAAAGCAAAATTGGAAGGTCATGATGATTGGGTCTTGTCAGTATGCTTCTCACCTGATGGAAATCATATAGCATCTGGTAGTGGAGATAAGTCTATTCGTTTATGGGATTTTAAAACAGGATAATAAACAGCCAAATTATAGGGTCATAGTGATAATGTCATATCGGTACGTTTCTCACCTGATGGAACTACATTAGCATCTGGTGGCGGAAATGATTATGGAGGTGGAGATTGTTCAATACGTTTATGGGATATTAAGACAGGGAAAAAAAAAACCAGATATACTGGACATAATGATCCTGTCGTCTCATTATGTTTCTCACCTGATGGAACTACTTTAGCATCTGGTAGTCAAGATAAGTCCATCCTTTTATGGGATTTAAAGACAGGATAATAAAAAGCAAAATTGGAAGGTCATGATGATTGGGTCTTGTCAGTATGCTTCTCGCCTGATGGAAATCATATAGCGTCTGGTAGTGGAGATAAGTCTATTCGTTTATGGGATTTTAAAACAGGATAATAAAAAGCAAAATTGGATAGTCATAGTGATTATGTTAGATCAGTATGTTTCTCACCTGATGGAACTACCTTAGCCTCTGGTAGTCACGATATGTCTATTCGTTTATGGGATGTTGGCACAGGATAAAAATAAGCAAAATTGAATTGTAATTCCAATTTTATAAACTTAGTGGGCTTCTCGTCTGATGGAACTTCCTTAGCATCTAGTTCGGCATATAAGCCTATTAGTTTATGGGATGCTTAAATAGGATAATTGAATGAACCTTCAAATATTAAAACCGAAGAATTTGTAGCATAGATTCAAACGGCCAAAAATTAAAACAATCAAATTGCAGAAGGTATTATATTAATTTTTTCTTAGTAACTTCTAATATTACTATTCTACTTATATCACAATAGGTCCTATTTTAAGCTTAAGGAGCTCTAATTTTCAAAGGAGAATTTGTTAATCAATCCTAAATAGATTTAAAAACATTATTAAAAAAAAAAGGAAGTTTCTTTTTAGAAAATAAATTTGTAGAATAATTAAAGCCGAATTGATTTTA